CAAGGAAGGGGTCCATTTCTCGGGTTCTGGGCCGTTTCTCATGGTTCTTCCTTCTTTCGTGTACCACTCACCATCCCTAGGTTAATTTGAAATGGGTTGCTTTTTCATCGTGAATTCGTCCTTTAAAATTGTAAAATTCGGAAGGTTACAGTGTTCGGATGTGGACTGACGTGGATAATTGTAGGATGCGCGAATTTTACATTCCAGATTCCATAATTACTCTTCCATCAAGGTTAAAAGGATTAGTATAGCACTGTGAACAAAAAAAACTTGCAGAGACTTACGAGCGTTGTTAAAATGATTTGATAATTTAGCATTTTTAAAATGACCCCATTGAGGGTTTTCGTCCGGAGAGACGCCAAGACGTTTCTTCGTTGCGTTGTCGAGTATGCGTTCAGCGATGCAGGGCTTCTTGCATGGACAATGTGGTTGAATTAAGGTGAATGAGCGCGGGAATTAATAAGCATCCTCTATAAGATATATTCACAAGGCCCAATGCTTGCATGGTAAATAGTATAAGGATGAATGTAGTATCCATGTGGTGATTTCGATATCTTCGTTTGGCGATTGTTGAATCTCGCGATTACTGATATATCTCGAATTCGATTAGTGGCAAGCGCTGCACTCTAGACGTGATGACTCACGTCGTGAGGTTTTAAAAGAGTTTCTCCGGATACAGATGCCTGTTAAGAGTAGTGGTTTTGCAAAGCAAGCGCCTACGTTGAGGCAGCTGACTTAAATACTTGAGGAACACGTTGGAAATTATCACGTGTTCAAAAGATCATAATTTTCTTTAATGTGGGCGACTTTTCAACCTAAATGAAAGATTTGGTCCGACGAGCTTTTCCTTAACTAGCGCTGAAATTACGAGGAAATTCATGGAAATACCGTTTTCGGATGACTGACTGGGAAAATTCGTGGGATGCGCGAATTTTTACAATTCCAATTCCCATAAATTCCCTCGTATCCAATAAGTTAAAAGGATTAGTATAGCACTGTGAACAAAAAAAAACTTGCAGAGACTTACGAGCGTTGTTAAAATGATTTGATAATTTAGCATTTTTAAAATGACCCCATTGAGGGTTTTCGTCCGAGAACCGCCAAGAGGTTCTCCTACGTTGCGTTGTCACTCCTTCAGCGATCAAGGCTTCTTGCATGGACAATTTTGAACTAAAGTGAATGAGCTCGGGAATTAACAAGCCTCCTCTACTTTATAGGCGTAAGATATATCACAAGGCCCCAACTTGCATGGTAAAGTATAAAGGATGAAGTAGCATCCATGTGCGACTTTCGATAAATCTTGGCATGTTGACGATATGATCTCGAATAATTGTACAGCTGTGACCAAGACGTTATAATCACTTTATTAAAAAAAAACGTAAGCCTAATAAAGTGATTATAACATCTTGGTCACAGTGTACAATTATACGAATATAAAGGATAAAGCATTTGCCGTTGATCAATCCCTTTTGGGATGCGGCACGCATTCTACTTCCATTTGTACATTCGTAGTGGCGTTTGAATGCGATGTGGCCTATACAATGACTTGCGGGGGCCAGCCGATGTACAAGTCAGTGTTTTTATCCTCCCAGACAAGTCTGGTACCAATTAACCGACCCCGGAGGGATGGAAGGCTTGGTTGGCCCGGGCGACTCACGACCCAGGATTTGATCCCCGGACCGCTCGCGTGGTAAGCGTGCCACTTGCCACTACACCACTTCCGCCCAAATATAAAGCATTGCCGTTGATCAATCCCTTTTTGGGATGCGGCACGCATTCTACTTCCATTTGTACATTCGTAGTGGCGTTTGAATGCGATGTGGCCTATACAATGACTTGCGGGGGCCAGCCGATGTTCAAGTCAGTGTGTTCTTATGACCGCTCGCAGTGGTAAACGTGCACTTGTCACTGACACCACTTTCCCAAGACAATCTGCAGGTTAAAGGTTATATCTTATGAGCTTAACGCTTAACCTAATTGCGTTTGCTCTCTTGAGATCCCTTCCTCTGGTTTAGCGATGTCGCTTTCCGTGAGACCTTCGATGTCTTTCAACGCCCCATGATTCAATGCACGGGAGACGGAATCAAGCGTATGAAATTGTCGATACAGTTCAGGGACGCACCGCGCACTCGACGTCTAGCGACATTCAGCGCGGGTCGCAATTTCCATTTGCTCACGAACAGGCTACCGTTGCTCTGGTCAGTGTTATACTTGCACTTGCAATCCCTTCTCTCCCTCTGGACCTAAGAAGAGACCCCTTCGTCGAAGATTTATCAAATAGTCATAAGCAGGGACCCTTGATTATTTGTTGGTGAGGAGTTTTCCTTTTGTGCTGGGTAGAGAAAGTGCAAAATGTGCACATTGTGACATCACCTAACACCTAACGTTGTAATCAGCGGGTAAAGAAGGGCCGCCTCCGTGAATTTTGAGTTGTGAACCGTCGTTTTTCTTGACCATCGCACTATTTATCCCTCAACTTTCCTCTCAAACAGTGTTCAACTTGCCGTGGTGTGCGCCTTTGATTCTACCGTTTCCAATGCCACAAAAACATGGTTACATTAACATATTGGTGAAGCGCTTACATAGTATGTCGGTCAAGAAGTCTGATCACACGTATATTAACCGACGGGCAGGGTCAACCGTCCGTTGGACAAAGTCCAACGCGACGACGAGAGTAATGCCGAGAGTGAACGTACGCACGGAGACACAGACGGCTCGCGGGTGGCGAGAGTGAATGCCGGCGCGGAGAGCGGTGAACATCGGTCCAACGTCGCTCCAATATCGGTCCAACGTAACGGTTGACCCTGCCTTGCTACCTGCTTCGCACTGGCGCATGCACTTCTGTGCAACACGCGTACATAGAAGTCTAGAGGTTAGCACGCCCTTGAGATCTCATGTTTTCGTACCGCGACACTTGGATCATCTCCACGAAGTCGCTTTGCCACTATGCAGCATGCGCCTACGTCTTTGGCAGTTCTGCTATGTGGTTTTCGAACCAGGGTCAACCGTCACGTTCGAACATTTTCGGGATTTTTGCGACCCCCTGTTTTTGTTAATAAGAGTGCTAGACATGAATCCGTTGCGCCAGAAAGCGTCTGTGCCGCCGCAGAAAGCGTCTGCGTTGCGGCGTCAGCCTTGGAGCGCGGCAGGTATCACCCGGGCGCTGGAAGAACGGGACGCGGCGAAGAAAAAATTTTAGAGGGGAATAACTTTCTTGGGACGTATTTTTTGACTTGTTGAGGTAGATTTTGATTGTGCCTGAGGTGCGCTTTCAGAAAACTACAAGGATTGCCTAACTCTCCGGAAAGTACTTCTGTTAGAAGTGGAAAACCCAAAATTCTAAGAAGGCGCACCTTCAACTTTGAAGGCCCATAAAATCTTTCGTATGCGACATTTTGGAAATCTGTAAAAAGTTTCAGAAACTTCAAATATTTCTCTAACAAAAGTATAAAAAGTTTAGTGATTGTCCCCTTTTTAAAAAAATTGTCCCGTTCGAACATTTTTCGTGCAAAAGCGAGTTTTTGGGCTTTCAGCGACCATAACTCACTTCATTTTCATTTCTGTGATGCACTTTTTTCATGGGGTGAAAGTACAGGATTTGCTCTTTCTAACAAGCACCAAACCGTTTTTCAAAATCCATTTTCCGAGAAAATCACACGTTCGAACATTTTGTTCCCATAGGTTTTTGAGCAGCACATGCGAGTTTTTGAGCTTTCAGCAATAATAACTTCCTTCAAAGAACTTGTTGGGGAGGGGCGAAGACATTTTTGAAGACTACGAGATTCTGCTTTCTTATGTGTTTTACCGTTGTCTGGAAGAATCGTCCTCAGAAAATCAGGTCCCGAAGAACTTTAATTTCAGCCCCGAGAAGTCAAACCTTTCATAGGGATGCATTCAACTGTTCTTTATTCCTCAAGGAAAACACCGTAATTTGCCTAAACTGTCTCTCTGTGCATAATAATCGAATCTAATGCGGTCTACAAACAATTCTTGCCCTCGCGGATACGCCACCGGGCGCCTGTGCTAGGTCAGTCTCAATTGCGACGCACCCTTTGCCGATCGAAATGCGACCTTTCGTTTCGAACGTTTGAACGGACGTTGACCCTGGTTGCAACTGCAGCCTAGCCCGTGAATGCGGGATCCATTCTACTCTCAAGCAGGACGTGCAGTCGTTTGACGTTGCAATGACTGTGTTCAACCACCTCACCGTCTTGTGGCGGCAGTGGCAGCAGTGGGATGTGATTCGGAATGCTCCTCAATGCACACGAACAGTGTAGTGAGCAACACTAGGATGTAGGGCAACCCTCATCGCACTTCCTCCGTTCCCAGTGCCCCATGTAACACAAATGTGACGACTTTCCAACTACCCAACAGCAGAAACTTAGTCAATGAGCGCATCATGAATTGGGGGGGCGGCTTATTACCATTTGTTTCTTTCTGATTTCCTACTTTTTTATTTATTTGCAATTCTGTCAAGGTCGGGCGTTGGAAATGCTTACAACATTTGAGGACAGAATTCACGATTGAAAAGCCTTATTTCAAATTAACTTAGGGATGGTGAATAGTATATGAAAGAAGGAAAAACTATGAGAAACGGCCAAGACCCGAGAAAAGAGGTCCGCTTCCTTGATTTGCGCATTGATGCGACTCTATCGCTGTGCTCTCTCACACACTACGCTTTTTCTACCTGCTAACGTAACATTCGCACATCGGTTAACTTCGCGATGATTGATGTGGATCACTCTTGCGCGGTGGGCGTACCCGCAACCAGCAGAAGTGAGCCATGTGTATTCAAGTACATGTTAATCCTGTTGTACTGCCAAAACTCCACTGGTCCTACACAAGCACCTGGTCTATGGATCTATTTAGCCAACACAGTACAAGCTTCCTATAATAAGTTTCAGAACGGACCAGACACAAGACGTCCAGTCTGCTTGAGCGGCTCCAAGTGAGGCAGTTATTTAAAATTGTAAAAAAAACGAATTGAAGTGTCGTTCACCTGCGCACTGATTTGTCACTCCATCCACGGGATATGTACAGTTGCATTTGTAGGCGCAGTAATCTGTTATCGAGTCATCTATACTGCAATTACCTGGAGCTGTGGTCTGATCTACTCGACATTTCCGCTTTGCAGTAGCCGTCAAGCAAGGATCTGTTTCTGCAACAAAACATTTAGTATTTCCAGCCCTTCTTTCCTTTTTCCAAGCTGCTGCGCAGAAATTCATGGCTTTCTGTATGTGGTGGATTTGTGTGATACATTCATGTATACGATGTGGGTTACTGGAAGGGCACTAGTTGCCCTTTACTGCCCCAGTTCTCAAAAAATGAGCACGATTTTGTGCGAAATTTTTTCATGACTAAGGATTTGGCAGAAAGCGTCTCTAGGGGTATTTCTAGAGGGTAGAAGCCGAACATCACATCAGTTTGGCACGAAACATGCCCCAGGTAGCTGTCGCCATTACATCAGTTTTGTCCACACCCGTAGCACCCGGCGAATTTCGTTCTAGCGCCTTTTGGCGCCGGCACTTGTGGGCGCTAGGCGTTTTTACTGCCGACAAAGTGATATTCGTATTTTATGAGTCGATCCCAGGAGCAACGTTCTAGCGAAATGCTCAGTCAGGGAAAAATTTCGATAAAAATCCAGCTCAGTTCGGAGGAGTGGGGCAGTAAAGGGCAAATATGCACGGGGGCCGCGAAAGGGGGGGCGAAGTTACTCTCACTCACATTCAAAACAGAATTAATTACACTTTGCCAGAACCAAACCGAATGAGCTTAATTGCATATTGAAGAGCACATTCCATTCTATCAAAAAATTATATGGGGCCTTTCTACATCGACGACATCAGAAGATTTTCCCAGCGGAAACGTGCAGCAGTATTCGCAGCTCAACGAGGTCGTGAGAAACTCAGGACGATTACGATACTTTTATGAACGCTGGTCAAAGCATCTACATATTCAGAGCAGCTGCCTAAGACATCACCAGTTATCCGATGAGACACTTAGTAGAGCTTCAAAGAGCAATTCGGTAGGCTCCTTGAGCTCGAGGGAATGAGCGGTTGAGCAGCGACGTAGGGCTGATTCTGTTTTAGAGGGAGACATCTGCAACGTAATTGAACTGCTAAACTCCCAACTAACAGCGCGCATCTTTGCGACAAAAGTTTGAGATAGCGCCAATGGAAGTGACATTTGCCATCCCGCCCCCTTAGTGCGATGTGCGTAGCCGAATTCTATAGGTGATTGACTTATTACTATCTATAATTAGAATTTTAAACTTGAAGTGGTCCTGGCGCACTTTACCGCATGACGCCAATCTGCAGCGGCAGAACGCGCTTGGTTCGTAAAGCTAGTCTATACTTTTGAGCAGATTCGCTATCTCATACGGATCGCCCTTCAGGAAATGGTATGAAGAAGCGCAGCAAAGAATCAGACTAATGGTGTAATGATTCCTTTGTGAGACTCTTTTCCTTTCAAATTTGCTCACCATAATCGTCGCCTGACAGTTTTCCTTCAGGTTTTTCAATAAATATTTGAGAGTGGGGATGGGAGTGATTTTATTAGGCTGTCCCATAATTAGTGAATCACTTTGGGTATTTTTGAATTGAATTTTTTCTGAGAATCCAAACATACACCTCTGTCATCTACAATGTATTGCCTATACAAGGAAATTTAGTCGCTGTCTTATCTCTAGAATTCCAGGAGCTATTGATCGAAGAAAGATCGGAAGTCGAGTTTGAGGTCATGTCACTTAGCGTAAAATTTCTTCCTGGGGAAGAGCGCTAGAGGTCAGACTGAGTTGTCTTTTGTTGGCACGAGGATAGGGCCACATAGAGAAAGAACTGGCTAGCCTGGAGTCTCCAATTTTTTATGAATATTCTCCGCAAGGTGGGGTCGAACGACCTCAGGAAAAAAGCAGACTTTGTCTTGCTTTACTTTCAAATTGAACGCGTCGCCATTACGCTGTAGATGTTGATCTTCTTCGGTGACTCTAGTATTACTGGGCGGCGGTTCATAACGCAAGGTCCCTCTCGTGTTCCACCAATATCTCGGCACCATGGGTTGAGGGAGCGTGCCCTCCCCTATCAGCTGGTTGTTTCTCTATATTTTTAGGCGTTCCAAAGATCTTATCGGAAATGGTGAGAAGAAGAGCTTGAAAATAGTTTCCAGAAAAATTGAACTATCAGCCACGGAAGGCAGCATGCAAATGGGCTACGTTTTTGGTCAGGTAGGGTAATGTGGGTGCTACTTCACAAGCATGTTTCACGCCTCCACCATTTTTTCTTTGGATTTTTTATCAAAACATTGAATGTAGAGTGATTCACTAATTATGGGACAACCGAATATTTGTAGGGAAGGCTATGAGGTCGTGGTGACTGTGGGTTGATCGCAACGATTTGTTAGATTGTATGCTCAGCGATGGTGAAGTTCTATGGCCAGCCCGTTGTTGTGTCGAAAACTGTTATCGGGCAGCTGCCAACGACGTAGTGTGTCTACCACAGATATAGGAGAAACACCAGGGACGGTAGCAAAGTACCCTTAACTCGCAATCAGAAGTAACGATCGGAGATTCTAAGCAAAGAATAAAGAATGGAGAGTGCGATCCAGCCCAGATCAAGCAAGAGCTTCCTACTTTAGATTTCAGACGACAAAATATCAGGAAACGAATAAATAAGAAAAAAAAGGTTGCAAAAGTACCTGAAGATTATGGATCGCAGCTGCATTCTTTGATTCCTAACAGGTTGAGCTGGTCAGAGAAGAAAAAAGAGCACGGGATTGAAGAGGCGCAGTCACCACGTCTGACACGTATGACCCTCCAGTAAAAAGTCCTTCGGAGTACTTTTTACTGAGGGTCATACGTGTCAGACGTGGTGACTGCGCCTCTTCAATCCCGTGCTCTTTTTTCTTCTCTGACCAGCTCAACCTGTTAGGAATCAAAGAATGCAGCTGCGATCCATAATCTTCAGGTACTTTTGCAACCTTTTTTTTCTTATTTATTCGTTTCCTGATATTTTGTCGTCTGAAATCTAAAGTAGGAAGCTCTTGCTTGATCTGGGCTGGATCGCACTCTCCATTCTTTATTCTTTGCTTAGAATCTCCGATCGTTACTTCTGATTGCGAGTTAAGGGTACTTTGCTACCGTCCCTTTTGGAACTGAACATGAGAGATCTCAACCACAAAAAATCACCTCACAGAAGGCATCCGGGAATAAAAGTGAGATGAGCGATAACACTTCGGCAGCACTAAAGCGCCCTAATGGCAAACGATGGACGGTCTCCCCCCCCCTGAACTGCCAGCATTGCCCCTGGCTCACGCACTCTTACTTAGTACCAGGTTCTCGCTACACCAAAAGTAGTAGATATTATACAACCGCCTCAATGCATGCGCTCTCTTGCCGTACCTCAGCGGCTCATGGCCACTGTGACCTTTCACACTCAAATTTTTGCCACACTGTAGCTGGCTCACCCACCTCGGGTCCCTCCCTCCTACAAGGCTTAGTCCTAGGGCTCTCACCTTCCTCTTGGGATTTGGAGCCGAGCCAGGCGCCGTTCTCTAATTGTCTGTGCCCTCGTGGCAGGACCATAGAAGAAAGTTCAAGTAACCCGTAAACAGAAAGTCTATGCTCCTCAAACAGCTACCATTTTTGGAAATGTATTCGTCGGAGAATGGAGAGTTTGTAGTTCCAATCGCCCCGAGAATTCATTCCAAGAAAGGCGATTCTAATTAAATTGGCTCGTTGTAGTTCCATGGCCCAGAAAACCATGGAAGAATCTTCAGAAATCTCTATAAATCATCACATGTACTTTCTATTTAAGGCTCGACCATCTATATGGGTCAAGGACTATATGGATTTCGGTCATGTTCCCGACTACACCCTGCATGACTCGCAACAATATAGCGATCATACAGGTCCCAAGGGTTCAATTAGTGTGTATGTAAGTCCTTCAAAATCGTACAAAGAGCGCTCATCATTCAATAAACTGTTGGCGATCTCTTCTGAAGGGAGACTGTTCAATTCTGTGCTCTTGTAGCGAGTGACGGCTCGAAAGGAAAGTGCCGACGATGAGCGTACACGCTGCCTCTCTCACTGTATGGGAGTCGGATGCAAAGATTGCGTCGTCGTCTGAAAACCGCATCGCGAGAGAACCCTTGGTTGACAACTGCCCCGTAACTGACTTTACCATCCGCCCCCTCCCCTCCTCATGTTCCGACAGAACATTGTTTGATAGACCATTATTCAGCTTACGCGGATTTCAAACTCAACGTTTATCTTCTAAGACATGAGCTGCAAGACAGCGCTCAAAGTTTACCCGTTGATTAAGTTGATGAAGGCACTGATCTCGAAAGAAGGATCAGTTCTTCTGAGCTCTACTCAACACGTTAATTTATGAGATGCCATCCGTACCTGTCTCGCAGTGGTCCCCGGTATCGCATGCTGGACAAAGGCACAGTTCGCCGCCAGTGTTTGGGTTCACAGCACAAGTACCTCTGCCACAGATGCCAGGCTTATCGCATGGATTACCTGAAGCTCAGATGTATTGAGGCTCTTGGCGAAAGAGGTTACATTTAGCAGTTTGTACAACAACATTATGAAAAGTGTTACTTCCGTTAACGGAGTAATAGCTAATGTCGAATTCAATAGACGACAACCAATTTGCTGAATAGAAGATTTGCGCCTGCGTGACATTCGTATAAACCACTGCTTCGGTCGTATTGGCAAAGCTGAAAACAACGAAACCAAGTGTTACTACAGAATTTAGGCACATAACAGTAGCTCACAAATTGAAGCTTACTTTTCTTTGCAAATGATACCGAAAAACTCAAAAAATTGGATTTCTAAGTTAACAACGCTTTAAGGGCACAACCCAGGCAGAAGTCGTGCGAAAGGTTCCCTTTAGTCTGTAGGATAGGCCCCTAGAGGACAATCACAATGTGGCATTCTCGTGCACGGAAATCACCCGACAAGAGCGCTAGGGCCTTGCAAAGTAAGCTGCAGCAGCTGCACTTTTTTCTCTTATCAGGCTGTTGTCTGGCGCCCTCTCATCTGTTGCGCTCTCTCGCCTCATACTCTCCTCTCCGCGCTTAGTCTCTCATTCCCTTAGCACAGCCGATTAGAAGGTGAGTGAGCCCTTAACCTGAGCGTTTTCGACGGATTCTTTTCCTTTTTTCTTTACTGCCGGCCCATTTCGCACCACTGTATTCATATTCGTGTGCAGGGACCAATCTGATCCTGGGGCATACATTTCAACTCTAAGCATTCTTGACTTGTTTTTGTTTGTTAACTGCTGTTTTTGGCCGCAGTTCGCCTTGCGAATGTTTCACAAGAATGCTGGGTTGTGAACAAAACTTTCGCCCCAGGCGGGACTAGAACCCGCACCTCTCGCTTTCCGGGCAAGTGCGCTACCAGTTACGCTACCGGGGCACCATTTCATCCCAACTCAGCTTTTCATGGTATACTATCCGGTGGGAATTTCAGGTGTCGTTGTGAGTGGAAAGTGGGTCAGTGGATTTCGATTTGTTGTTTTAGAGAGCTGAGACTTTTTGAGAGCTCCTTGTTTTTATCATACACGTACATAGTTCCTTACATAGGCTTAGAAGATTTTTTGGTCACCTTAGGTCATTTTTTAATTTGAACCAAATCTCAATGCGCCTTTCAATGAAGTCGTGGTCAGAGATCGTGTCGGTGTGAAGATTCCGCAAAAGGAGACACATCAACGGAGCCAAGGAAATTGAGATTGTGGCGGTGGTAGGGGACCGTGAAATCAGATTAGATAGGTAGCGGACTAGATTTTTACTTCTTCACAAACGTAACTCTTTTGTGATTATGATGCCCCTATTGCTGCAAGCATTATGTTGTGGATGTATAGCCACCCGACCTACTTGCGCTCAAATGTTTTGTGCATGGGCAGTTGCCCTACGGTCAAAGTGAGCGGCAGACGTTTTCCTCCGAGGGTGGCAGCCAGTGTCAGCTCGGCATTCCTTGGGTACCTCCATGATGTTAATAGAAGTCAACAGTATGCCCCTTTAGCAGGGTGAAAATCGCTTGAGAAAAAGACAATGGCTTACCGAGGATTCTTTCACGCTCTCCCACGCGGATGCTCACTCTCGCCACCCGCGAGCCGTCTGTGCTCTCCGCGCATTCATTCACTCTCGACACTACTCTCGCACGGTAGAGAGCCATGGTCGAGGAATTCCTCGACCGTTATTCACCCTGCCTTTCAGTCCCAAGATGACGAAAAGCCGCTGTGGACTGGCCGATATGCCAGTTCTGCTACCCGTCTGGTAGCAGACTCCTTACTACAAACATCAAGACACGTCGGTCATATGGAGATGAGAGAAGCAAACTCAATTAGGCTATTCAAGCTGGCGGTCTACTGCGTACAGCCGGGAAAGGATAGGTCGAAATAGCCATATGCAATGAGACCTACACTGGTAAACATGTTTTCAGACGCTGATCCGGAATTGATTTTCCGAATGAGTCGAATCCTTTTCTGGACGGAGTTATGAAGCGAAATGGAGCAGCGGTGGCTGTCCGAGCTCACTGGTAAGGGTCGTACGATTAATTCCCTGACGATGCCTCTTTTGTCTCCCCGGAAGCATGGTTGAAAAGAGGCTCTAACAATGTCACTACACCAGAGCTAGCCTGTAATTACCCGTACAAAGAATTTGCGAAGAGGTTCTAAAAAAGGGCGCTACTTGCTGACGAATGGCATAGAGTCCGCAGAACGACGGACAGACAGGCGTTTTTGCAGCAGACAGGTGTGGTAGTCGTGTGACTTTAAAAATCAAATCATCCATCAGAGCGCGAGGTGGTAGGACCGACCTCTTGCCCCTGAATTCGAACCATTACCGATGCTCTGTCTTTGCTTCATAACTCCGTTCAGGGGTTCAGGGAGGAAGTGGTGTAGTGGAAAGTGGCGCGCTCACCACGCGAGCGGTCCGGGGATCAAATCCTGGGTCGTGAGTCGCCCGGGCCAACCAAGCCTTCCATCCCTCCGGGGTCGGTTAATTGGTACCAGACTTGTCTGGGAGGATAAAAAGACTGACTTGCATGTACACCGGCTGGTCCTTTTATTTATTTATTTATTCATAGACGCAGAATATCTGCGTGGTAAGTACAACCAAAGTAGATTACAATAGAAGCACAAAGCGAGTGGGCATCATCAAACATAGAAACAGATGAAAATCAGTACATCAGCCATGTCTTATACTGTTTCAAGAAACTTCCGCATTGATTAATTTAATGGCTCTTTTACGAAATGAACTAAGGGACAAGCGTAGCATATCCTGATTGAATATTTTATTTAGGAAAGGTAGTACTCTGATTGCAAAGAATTTCGCTCTGACCTGGATCTCACTACAGGACGTCTTATTTTTATGGTACTACCCCTAGTCCTAGATCGCACAAAAGTGAAAAAGTCTGTGGGATTAAGAGCTACTTTTCTAGTCAGAATTTTGAAAGCCATTATGAGATCATTAACTAATCTTCTTTTGACTAGAGACGTTAAGGCGTAGTATCGCCGCCTTTCAGCTGCACTTGGTAAAGACTCATAACTGAGTCCAGAGCAACGAAGGGTAAGTTTTCGAGTAGAAGTTATTCTGTACACGTTCTAGCAGAACAATATCCTTTTTCTTATAGGGGGAGAATATAGCAGTACCAGACTCAACTATTGGTCTTACATAGGCCTTATAAGCTTTCAGTAATACTGTTGAATCTTTCGTCTGGAGAGCTTTGAATAAGTTGAAAACTCTATTGTTTGCTTTAGTAACCAATGATTTGTAGTGTGTGTCAAAGCTCAATTTATTAGAGAACGTGAAACCAAGGTCTTTAATTTCTTAAACGGACTCTAAGTGAACTGGAACCAATTTTGTAGCTATGAGTGATAACATCATTACCGATGCAGAATACCTTAGTTTTTTCTGGGGCTAAAGGTAAACTCCATTTCTCAGACCAATCCACAATATGATCAATAGCTGCTTGTAGCTTGTCACAATCAGATTTACTTTCAACAACTTTGTACAGTTTGATATCATCGGCATACATTACAGATGATACTTGAAATTTTGACATTGACAATTTTGACATTGACCTATACAAAATTTTGACAAAATTTTGTATAGGCCAAATACAGCATTCAAAAAAAATAAAAAAATACAGCATTGTAGCATTCAAATGCCACTACGAATGCATTAATTCAAGTAGAATGCGTTGTGAATTCCAGAAGAACTTTGATCAACGGCAAATGCTTTATGCTTCGTTGCTTAACCACCGTTGAGAAAATTGATTGGCAAATTTTGAAGACAGATTCGAGATCAGCCTCCGAAAACCCTTCAGTGTAGGTCTCATTGCATATGGCCACGTCGATCCATCATTCTTTCCGTAAGTGCCTTACACTTCTATTTTGTGCCCATGTACCATTGGGATTACTTCTTTATTCCATGTAGCTATCACATTGTGCAAATTCAGTATTGGGCACAAAGAGAAAACCGTGAGTCTGTGGTCAGGGGGCTGTGGAAGGCAGATGAGCCTTAGCAGAGTCCTACGATCCTAAGGATGCGATAAACTAATGCTGTGGATTGCGCAGGGAGCACGATCTAAAGCCCACGGCCCAAAACGTTTAGGGTTCTAGCAATCTGGGAGCATCGACTCGCAATGTTATACCATAGACGTGCACCTTCCTGTAGGGGGTCACTCTCCTGCAGGGGTAACCGTCTGTGACACATTTTTCCACGAAGTTCAAGAACACCCTTACCGATTCTCGAGGATTTCTGAGCAGACAGTGAACTTACATTGTTGGTGGTCACAACTTTCATGAAACACTATCCGTCACCTACTTTCGAGCGGTTGTGTGATGAACTCATTTCCAGTGCATTCTTTCTGAGGAGTTCCTACTAGCTCAACCCCTTTTTTCCCATGGGAAAACAGTAAAAACTCAAGAGACAACGACCTCGATATAGTGGATCCAGTGCGGGCATTAATGATCCTGAGAACGGCATCAGTTCCTCCGATAGAGACGCTCACATTGAATATGATGTTGAAGCCATCTTGGGCAGTAAAAACATCCGAGCACTGGATTGTCTGAAATCAACTCTTGAATTATATTCTTTGAGGATCCAGTGGGCGGTTGTAGTACTCACTAATTTCCGACCAATATGGCTTGGCCTCTTTATGAACTACCGACAACATCTGATTTGCTGTCCGACAAAATACGGACAGATGATTATATGAATGATATTTGTACTTGCTGTTCTGATGAGTCTATGAAAGACTTTTACTAGGAGAATGAATTCTCCTTCCTCGTCTCAACGACGTAGCACCGACTGCAGTGCATGTACTACCCTCCCTTCAAAAAGCGAGAAAGTGTCGGGTGCAGACCATGCACCACAAGTGACGACGGCCTTCACAAAATGTTAATGTTTTCTGCCAATGAAATGATTAGCCTGTTGCAGTTGTATTCTATCGATTGTCACTAATTACAACTATCATTTACCAGAAATCAGCTATCACTATGAACAACTTCTAACCAGATTTACTTGGCCGTCGTCAGTTGTGGTGTTTGGTCTGCACCCGACACTTTCTCGCTTTTTGAAGGGTTATGTGGAACACCCCGCAGACTTCATTGGAGTTCCATTTGTAATTAATTGTGATCCACGTTAATTAGTTTTCCAAGAGAACATCAAGTAACAAAATTTCTGAAAAATTGCACCAAATTTCGTTTATTCTTGTTTCTACGGGTAACGTGAAGTCTCTTAAAGGGAAAAACGGAGCTCACTCAATACCACTAGCTTGACGAGTTGCGTTTGCGTTTGAAATTTCTGACTGCTCATTTCATTGCGAGGAGTGGGGCGGTGGTGTGCAGTAGGGGCGCTCATTCCCCTTCATGGGATTACAGGGGCGTTTTCAGGGGCCATTCATTTCATCAGAATGGGAACGGTTTTACCTTTAACACGCTGACTAGGAAGAACATTTCCACTTAAGCTGAAACACCCCTCACGTTCCCGCTAGGACCAAGCAAACATCGTCGGAGTGAGTTGTAGTTGGATTTGGAAGCGAGGAATTATGATAAAACATATGTGCATCATGGAAACACGATGCACCAGTGGAAATAGTTAGAGCCGGAGGAAGCGAGATGTGGCCTTCCCGTGACCAAAGTCGCGCCACTTGCAGCGCCCTGGAGCTGCCAGTCCTTTTTGAGCTCCGCCTCCGCCGCCTCTGCTCCGCCCGTCAGTACGTTGCCATCAGCATCATGGTTTGATTACCCTTTTAATAAAGTGTTCCATTCCATGGAAAACTATCAACTATCAGTCAATTAAGAAAGAAAAAATCGTTTATAAAAGAAATAATTAAAATGGTTCGTTTCGCTCCTTCCTCAGACGAACCTTATTATTTACCCTATCTATTTATTTATCAAATCATGGTCTTTGTGTAGGTGGCTATCGAATTTCCATGTGCTAATGATCTCTCGGTTCGTTACTATCTATTCCATTACCGGAGGTTGAAGGGTGAGGGGACGGGTCACATTTTGCGCGTTCCTGACCGATTTCTTTGGTTTTTCGCCACTGGGGTAATATTTAGCATCCCCATCAACTGAAATCCGACCTTATCGTAATCGCTCGCTTTGAGAGAGGAGTTCTTATGCTTTGTCTCTGTCGGCCAGGGAATTATGCGATGCACTCAACAACACAAGTTACCTCTCAGTAATCTGATAACTAGTATTTTATAAAGACAACTGATAATTGATAGGTTATACTTGTTATCAGCGACTACCAATAGAACACAGTTGCTACAGGCCAATCATTTCGTTGGCAAGAACTGTTACATTTTGTAGGAGGCAGTAATCACTTGTGTTGTGAAGTTTGCAGAAGGCACCTGGCGCCGGAGACGAAGGATACATGTGGGAAGGTTAAGGATAAGGATAAAGGATAAAGCATTTGCCGTTGATCAATCCCTTTTTGGGATGCGGCACGCATTCTACTTCCATTTGTACATTCGTAGTGGCGTTTGAATGCGATGTGGCCTATACAATGACTTGCGGGGGCCAGCCGATACAAGTCAGTGTTTTTATCCTCCCAGACAAGTCTGGTACCAATTAACCGACCCCGGAGGGATGGAAGGCTTGGTTGGCCCGGGCGACTCACGACCCAGGATTTGATCCCCGGACCGCTCGCGTGGTAAGCGTGCCACTTGCCACTACACCACTTCCGCCCTGTGGGAAGGTTAATGTTGAAAAATGCGTTCTTGAAAGGGTGAGTTGACTAATGACAAAGAGGGATTGTAAAACATGAATCCAAACGATTTTATTGCCGTATTTCTTGCCGTCCCACTTTCGTTCCTCGCTAGGGGCGGAAGCGCGGTGATGGCATGTGGCTCTGCTTACGACATGCGCGGTCTGGAGTACAAATCTTAGAGCGTTAGCTATCTAGGGCAATCAGGCCTCTCATTCCTAGGGATCGTTCAGTCGGTATCAGACTTTTCTGAAGAAACAAATACTGATAAGCTGCCTCTCGGA